TGTCACTACTAGACAACTTGTTAGATTCTAGGCTGACATCTGACTTACTAATCTTCCCCTTTTTGTTGAAGATGGCCTGTTAATGCCTCTCTTGCCCTTGAGCTTGCTAGTTTACTTCTAAGACCCTCCATCTTCTCCATTTCACGGCGGATGTCAGCGGATGTCCTGGTTATTAGGCTCAGCCTTGATTGCTTTGCCAAGGTCTTCAAAAGCCTTTTCAAGTTGGTAGAGCTTGATTTCGGCTAAAGCCCTTCTGTAGAGTGCTTTAGTGTTGTTATCATCAAGAATAATGCCTAGTGAGTAGAGCTCCTTAGTTTGTTAAAAAAAAACCGAACTTTTAAGGCACAAGCTGCGAGGTTTAGCTCAAGGGATATGGCAAGATTCCTTAGAAAAACACAATCATCTTCATCTCTTGGTAGTACAAAACACAGGAGTTTCAGCCCTATATCATACTTAGCCCCAGCAACGACTTCATCTTGCTTGAAGTGAACTTTTCCCTCCTCTTTTAAAGTCTTTGCTTGATTGAGGAAGTTCCGGGGGGCAATTATTTTTAGCAAAATTGACAATGCTTTCATCATAATCATAGTTCAAATGAATATGCATAAGGGCACTAAGTAATCTCCGGTAGTCCGTAATGAAACTTCTAAAAAAAACCGAAAGCGATAAGGGAGTTGGCTAACAACTTCACAAAGAACACACACAAGCAGAACAAACCGTCGGAGAGAATAGCACGACAACGAGAATAAAAGAAGGGGGTGGAGAGCCGGGTGATGAGTCTATTATATATATATATATATATATATTTTTTTTTATTCCCCGTCCCACGATCATATTTGAGCTCTACAGAGCTATTTTTATTACTAATATACGTTTCCTAGTGTTTTTTGTAGAGTTGGTATTATTTTGTAGGAATTTGTAGAATTATGATAATTCCCGAGCTTATTGAGCCACTATGAAGATATTGGAATTTGATCGTATTTTGTGACCGTATATTTGAAGCTTAAGACCGAACTAGAGTAATTTAGTTTGGTGAATAAGGGCTCAATTAAAGAAGAGGGAGGTTGAAATTATTATTACGAATCAATGGACCAAGTACGAGTAGAAGAAATTGGGCCGTTTCATATAAAGCCTTAGTTACAATCCAAGATGCAGACCCACGGCTGCTAGCTAGGTAGAATTGACCGGGCCCGATCGCGTAGCCCAGTGCCAGATCGGGCGAGCTTCTTTTGATCAGCTGCTTCCATTAAGTCGGTCTTGATATTTTTTGGTGGGTTATAAAAACCCACATTGGGGAGCAAGGGTGCAACTTTTATTAGTTAGTTGTTGAGAATTAGTTTTATAAGTTTGATTTTTTAGAGGATTCCTTTTTACAAAGTACTAGTTTTTCGTAGGTAACTTGGTCAAACTTTTGGCTTTTCGTTTTCTTTGTTTTTCGTAAGTTTATTTTAAGCTTTTAATCTTTGTTACTTCTTTATTTTAGCTTATTAGTTTGTTAGAATCTTTATTGCTTTTATTATAGCTTTTCGCTATAACTGCTTTACTTTAGCTTTAGTTTTGTTATTGTTTTTATATGAGTTTTTATTATTATTGTTTTTAATTTAGTTTTATTATTAGTTTCCATTATTCTTGCTTTTAATCATGTTTTATTTAATTGCTTTGATTATTTTAATTTTAATTATGCACGTCTAGTTTAATACTAGGGTTCTTGGGGATCCATGATTAATATGAAGGGATGATTTATTATTGTTGATTGTTAATGTTTTGGGTTGATTTCCTATTGATTGTTATAATGCTATGCAATTAGATTTGCGCATGTTTAATTGTATGAGTAATGCAATACTGATTCGAGATTCGATAGATGAGAATTAGTATTAAAGCCTACTTTCAATGGGTAGAATTAATTTAAAAATGGTTAAGTCAAGATTCGAGAGATGCGATTTAATACCGCTAAGTTAATTTTGTGATTGTAATACGTAGCGAAAGCCCTTTATAATCTGGTTAATTGATAATTGATTGTTGTCTTTCATCCCGGAACGTTATTTATTGGTGAACCTATGACCCTAGGCTTTTTGTCATTGATTATTCCCTTAGTTTAATTATTGTCGTAGTATAATTCTCACAAAAATAATCCTTTCTTCATAATTTAGATTATAATAATTAATTAGGAGTAAAAGAATATTGTTTCCCTATCTATTTTAGTTAGTGATTTTAGGAATTACTTTTGATTAGGTGATACGACTAAAGTCTGTCACCTGGCTTTTACAACCAAGACCCAGCCACAAACCGATGCCAGTTGCCGATAAAGGCTAAGGAGAAGCAGTCGCAGCCAAGCAGAGACCGTAGCACTACCACCAAGGCTGGACTACAAGCAAAATCAGGGGACTGAGAAGGGCGACAACCACCTCAAATTCCGACACAAAAGGTCGGCAAGGGCAGACCACGGCAGGAGGAGGCGGAGGCAAGCAAGATCCGCCGTAGGCCGGAGTACCCTCACTAAGCTAGCTAGCAGCGGACGTCAATCTACATGGGTGAAAGTTGCTCTGTTAAGCAGTGATCGGGGGCCTCCCGTGTTCTGGTAATGCCGGGCAAAGGAAAAGGCTCGCCGACGATCGAGAGGGGAAGCCGCCTACACAGATCGCCAGCAACCCGCTTGAGATAGCTTAAAGGAAACTGGAATTATAAAACCAGGGGATTGAAAATGTTTTTTGGGGGTTTTGTTCTCGCGCGTGGGGTGCGATATAGACAATCGACAGTTGAGCTTTGTTACAAATAAAATCATAAGAACAAGCACAACAATAAGCAAATAAAACACTTCCTCATTTTCTTTACCCACTTTCTCACTTCTCTTGCTCACGAGCATTTTTGGTGGTCATATTTTTATCCCATCACCAATGATAAAAAAAATCTCCTCACCATTCTATCTCCTACTTTTTTCAATATTCCACCAGCATTTCTCTCTCTATACACATCACCATATTCATATTTAATTATCTTATGTTTAAGGAAATTATACTACTATAAATTACATTTTTGAAACAATTAAAATGTAATTATGTTTAAAACAATTATGTAAATAATATTTAGTAAAATTATGTAACGAAAATTAACCGATCAATCAACCACTAACGAAAAAAATAATTTATTTTTTACTTTAAAATAACATAAGAAAGATAGATGTAATACCACCACGTAAACTAATTGTCATATTTTTCTGGTTTTATGTTAGTTGTATTGGTTTTATTGTCATAAACAACAACAATATTTTTCTAAAATAATAGATGTAATTGGTAAATATACATATTATTTGGATATAAAATAACATAAGATTGGTAAGTCAATAAAACACAACTAAAACAAAGTTAAATACGAACTTAGCACATTATTGAAATACAAATTTTTACTTCCCACCCATCAAAACGACGTGTTTTGATAAACACATCATTTTGGGGGTGGAGAGAGTAAAAATACAAGTTGCCATATTTCTTTGATGTGGGACCCAACAGTACTGTTCATTAGTTTTTTTTGCTCATAGGATGAGATTTTTTGTTTTACTCATGAGCATATTTAGAAATGATTATTGATGTAGTAGCTTAGTTTTTGTTTTTGCCATAATTTTTGCTTATGAGCATTTTTTTGCTCATTGTTGTCAATGCTCTAAGAATTAATTTGAAAAAATTGTTATTCATCATTATGTTCATATACCTCAATAGCTGATGATGATGATGATGAGAGAAACCAACACGGTTTGCAATTAGCTCAACAGCAAAGACTAGATTATTTTTATAGCTAAATTTCCTAATACGCGAGACACAAAATCGCCAGTTCCTTTAATCATAAGATATACTGTAAACTACAGATTCCCTCAATCCTCAAATAAATATTTCATTTGCTTTCTTTAATTTTCAAGACGTACCAAAAATTTGATGTCTTTTGATTACATTTGGGTTCAATTAATGCCTTAGGTTAGTACAAAGTGAGCTCAAGTTTCTCCGATTTTGGAAAGTGACCTTTGACAAGTTTGAATGGAAATAGTTATTTCAAAAGCATGTTTGTCTAATAAAAGCATTTACAAGCCTTGCACTTATATGTACTTAGCGTTTTTGCTAATCCGCTTTCCTTTTTGTTTTGGTTCGCCCTGTTACCGTTATTAGTAAGCAGTTTTGATTTCAGGTGTGGAGTTGATCGTGCGTATACTTGAGTCGGGATTGGGATCACCTAGTTAGGATTTTACTCACTCATGAGTCAGACATGTATTATTTGGAATATTTTTCAAAGTATATAATATGGTTATTATATTATTAATAAAGTTAGTTATTTTTCCGCTGTCATTATTAGTAGTTAAAAAAAAAAAAGCCTTACGTTTTCACGTGGCGGCGATACGCCCAAGTCTATCTCTACGGTATTTTATACGTATAAATATTGTATTTGCGTAGAGGGAGATTTGGGGGTGTTATACTCTTCCCATCCACCATCTTCTCACTCCTTACTCCTCTTCCCACGTTGTGATAACTCCATTGGAGGAGCTACAACTTTCCTCCACCTTCAACTTCTTCATCTTTACCCACCTTCCACCCAAACTACCATCTCTAACATTTCACCGACACCTGCATCTTTTTCTTCTCCACCGAAATGTCCACCATCCTTCTGAAATATCCATTGAAGCTGTTTAAATTCTCTTGTCGTTTGTTATTCATTAAGTTAACAATGTTAACTTTGTTTAGAGACTAATAATCACATTCTTTTTTAGTGTATAGTCAGAAGCTGATGATGCTACTGCATGACAAACTGCAGAGAAGAATGAACTTCACTAATATGATAGCCTGTAATGAGTGGTGTTGGGGTGCTAGAAGCGTATTCCAGAAATAGGTGTGCCAAAGTTTTTGTGCAACTTTGATCTATAATATCTGGTAGCAAAGGAATGCGGCCATTTGGGGAGCAAAAATTCTGAGGCATGAAGTTCTTGTAAATAGAATAGGTATTGATGTGTATTAAGGAATTTGTAGTGTTAGTTCTAGTAAAGTAAAGGCTAGAGACTTAGCTTGGCTATGGGGCATTTGCCTAGGGGATTAGTATCCTCAGTGTAATGTTTGGTTTGTGTGATTAATAAAATTTGCCTTTTCTCAAAAAAAAAAAAAAAAAAAAAAAAAAATGTTAACTTTTGTTATCACTAAAATTACAAATTTACCCCACTTATCTACTGAAAATAACAACAATGCCCCTTTGATATATTTTTCATGTTAATCAACTTGGAATTACCTATTAGTACATTGACAATTGTTGTGATTTAGTCTTTTTTATTTGCTTTATACTTCGTATTTTTATTGTGAGTTAACATTGTAATTCTTTATTGTGTGTACTGCGTAGATATCAACTAGCTTATTTGGTTAAAATCTTAAGAGTGCTATTCAAAATTTGAGATTAAATTTCTTCTACATTACTGCTCTTGTCACCTTGTGGCTTTCATTACTAGCTTAGTTGTGTGTTTATCGAGTTTTAAGTATTTGGTATGTTATATGATTTTCCCCGGGTGAAATTTATAATTAAAACCTTTTTCAAATGTTTATTTTGCAAGTAGTTATTTATGGGCGTAACTAAAATACGAGTTCAAATCTCATCCGTATCATTCTCTTTTGTACTCTATACACTGTAATACTCTGTACTTCTTCCTAGGCCCAAACGGCCAACCCTCACTAAAACCTCGTTTATCAGTTCAATGTCTGAATTATTTCCTGTTAAAATTTCTCTACAAAATTAAAAGAGGCGCCTGCTACTGCTGTTGTCGCTGCCGCCTGTAAAACACCGTAACACTCGCAGATCAACGCCCGTCTTAGGCGGCGGTTACGGCGGCGGTGGTCGGAGATGCCGTCAATGGCTAATTCACACTACAAACAAACCAACGACACTATTTCTAACAATGATTCCAGGTTCTTCTTCTTTTTCTTCTTCCCCTTTTTTCACTCTTTTTCTAATTTTGATTCCTGGAAAATTTTAAGTTCTAATTGAAAATTATGCAGGAGGCAAAAGATTTTGGAGCAGAGGAAATCCCTTCCCATTGCTGCTGGTACCCTTTTAATTTTTAATTTTAATTTGTTTTGATTTTTTTGAAATTGTTGACTAAAGATTGAAAATTTACTAAGAATTTGATTAATTTGTGGTTGTAGTTGAGAAGCGGCTAGTGGAGGAAGTTCGTAATAATCATACTTTGATTATTGTTGGTGAAACTGGAAGCGGCAAAACTACCCGTATGTTTTTTGTTTACCCTTTATTTCTGACTTTAATTTCTAAGAATGATAGTTTCCATTCTACACTCGGGTGTGAAATTACAGTCGTTAAATGCTCACATGCTTGTGTGCGGACTGCGGAGCATGTGAGCTTGAGGATGTGAGAGGGTGTAATTTTACACGCCGTGTAGTATGGAAACAGTGACTTAAATTTAGAAACAAGGAATTAGAATGTAGGTTAGGTTTTCATGGTTTAGGCCATTATGAAGAGAAATTTGTGAAATGTTACTTACTTTTTGATGAAATAGTTGTATAGTGTAAGTTGCAATATCGAAAGTTATTTGGAGAATTGAGTGTGAAGAGTTATACTTTGTGATTGTTTGTAGATGAATTTGTGTTGTTATTGTAGAATTACCGCAATATTTGTTCAAAGCTGGATTTTGCCGTGATGTAAAGTTGGTTGGGGTTACTCAACCTAGGCGTGTTGCTGCTGTTACTGTGGCGAAAAGAGTGGCTGAGGAGTCTGGTGTGCAATTAGGACAAAGAGTTGGATATTCAGTTAGATTTGATGACATGACTTGTGGATCAACGAGGATCAAGTACATGACGGATGGGTTGTTATTAAGGTAATTTTATTATTCTATCTAATTAACTTACTGGTTTGTCGTTTGTGTGTCCTATTAGATCCTATTCTGTTTGACTTATCTTGACTTACTTTAGACTGAATAAGTTGAGTTAGGTAATTATAGACGAAATAAGTCAATTTGAACATAGCCTTAATGTGCCGATTATTGAGAATGACTTTAGGGAGCATTTGGTTCATGAAAGGGAAAGGGAAAGGGAAAGATTTTGAGAAAGAGACACAAGGAGAATGGAAAGGAACTCCCTATAGTTTACCTTTCCTTTTCAGCATATCAAGAGCAAGCTATGCCTTACTTTTACAAATTGCCCCCATTGAGGCTCATGCCTTGGCTACAAAGTTGCCTCTAGATTACATTTCAATTCCATGCAACTTCACAAAGAAGTGATAAGCACATCTAGTGAGATGCCTAATATAGTCTGTTGTAATCCAACATTGTATAAATTTGCCAATAGTGACTCTCAGAGTAGTCTCAATTATGTTCAAATTGGAGGAGCCTTCATGGTGAATGTATATATTGTAAAAAGCCACTTTCTAGTCTCAAGGTTAAGGTTGCAGATGTTGATCTCTTTTATCCTTAAAGTTGTCTCCCTAGAAGAATTGGATAATACTAACTCCAATTTTATTTCTCTCTTAAGGATAATAGAATATGCACACATATTAAGAAGTTATTCGTGATTGTTTCAAAAAAAAAAAAAAGAAGAAGATATTCATTATTGCATTGATATTCAAAACTAACTACTTACAATACAATAAGAACTAATAATATGGAATAAGAAAGTTGAGTAAACTGATGATATAATTGGAGGGCATAGTTTGATATGATATGGGTGTAGTTGCAGTAATAAAGCTATTTTAGAGGGAAAAAAAAAAAATTGAAAATCAGGGGCTGAATATGGGATCAGTGTCTATATTTAACAAGTCAGACTGAGATTTGAATATCTATAAGGTGCTGTAGGTTTAAAGTCCTCTTCATGGCAACACCTCTGCTAAAATGTTTTAAAAATCTCCTACTAATCAAAGATTAAAGAAAAAGAAATAGATGGTCGAGTAGATTATAAGTAAATTTCTTTGTGCAGTCTAGCATTGAGATTTCATGTAATCACATTTTGAGATAGCTTTGAATGGTCCATCTGCTTATAGATTATGCAAAATTTTTGCCCAGATTTGTCTTCCGATTAAATGATGTGATCCTTGCTTATGTTCAGGGAAGCATTATTGGATCCTCGTCTATCTAGGTATTCAGTCATTGTTGTTGATGAAGCTCATGAGAGAACAGTTCACACTGATGTGTTACTGGGCTTGCTAAAAAATGTTCAGAAAGCTAGATCTCAATCTGCAAACGAGTTAGCTGGTAGAGCAAACTCAAATAATGACACCAATTTGGAAAAAGACAATGGGGTTCAAATGGCTAGCCCACCCAAGCAAGGCCAAGTTGCAAAACTTCCTCCTCTAAGGCTGATAATTATGTCTGCCAGTTTAGACGCACGTATATTCTCTGAGTACTTTGGTGGCGCAAAGGCTGTTCATGTTCAGGGAAGACAGTTCCCTGTTGATGTATTTTATACACTACATGCTGAGACGGATTATGTCGAGGCTGCAATGGTGACAATATTTCAGGTAGCGTATATACTGATAATTTGTTTATTGAAGCATAGCTTAGGGCGCACAACTTGTTTACCAGTTTTTTTTTTTTTTTTTTAATTTTTTTTTTATTTTTTCAACTATTTTATTAGTGTGCCACAATTCAATGAGGCGCACTGAGGCGTGCCTAAGGTGCAGGGAAATCCTTTTTGCCATAGTGCGCCTTGAGCCTTTTTATACATTTTGGCCAACTTTGAGCTTGCCACATTCTACTTATTTCTGCACATTGAAAAATTTTAACCCCATATGTTTCTTTGTTGTTATATATTTCATGGGATCATGTCTTTTACATATTTAGATTCATTTAGAGGAGGCTCCTGGTGATATACTTGTATTTTTGACTGGTCAAGAAGAGATTGAATCTGTAGAAGGACTTGTGAGGGACAAATTGCCACAATTACCTGAAGGCAATCGAAATATGGTAACTGTTCCTATTTATGCGTCTCTTCCCTCAGAACAGCAAATGAAAGCTTTTATGCCTGCGCCAGATGGATTTCGCAAGGTACATTAAGCTGACTCCTAGATTTCCCTCTACAATTTCGTTCATAGAACCATTTGTAACTTTAATGTAGAGAATTAAAGGACCTTGTGCTGGATTTTAATTAAAGCATGTCTATTGAAGTGTGTGTTAGTAAACTGATAAAGCTTTTCCAAGCTCTTATAGTTACAATGTGGTTTTTAATCTTGCGCTTCACAGTTTTAGTTGTAGGCTGTGTTACTTGGCTCTGTTAGAACTGTCAGACACAGCCATTTTATGATTGGTTTGAGTAATATATGTGGCCCAAAATGAAGTGTCTAGGTGGTGCTATACCCATGTCTGAGTGTCTTGTATTGGCACAGGTATGGAGATAAAAGACGGGTCTGAGTAACACTGGTTGTAAGGGCATTCAATTAATTTAATTTAATTTAATTTAATTGTGATGCAGCATTCTGTTGTTTAAGGCTTAGGTTGAAGTATTCCTGGGAAAAATATAACAAAGACACTTTGCTGCTGACTTATGTAGTTACGTTTCTTAAGTAATACAATTGGAAAGCATGCATGTGATTCTCATGGATCTGCTGCAGAATATATCACAATTCTCCGAATTTTTGGACTTAAAAGCCGTTATGATTCAGTCCAACGTCAGTTTCTGTTACTGTTAAAATCACTATTATTGCATATATTACTGTAGGATGATCTGGTCAGGCTGCAAAGTTAGCCCAGATATTTAGTCCATAGAGGTGTAGACTCTAGTTTCAATACTTTATAAATAATGCATAGTTTGTATCTTTAATTATGCATAGTTTGTGCTGATTGTGCAACTCCTGCTTATACAAACATTTATGACACCTTGTGTTCAAAATCCTAATTTACTTTTTCTTATTAAGGTAATACTAGCAACAAACATTGCTGAGACGTCAGTCACAATACCGGGAATTAAGTATGTTGTAGACCCCGGAGTGGTCAAAGCCCGGAACTATAATCCACGTACAGGGATAGAATCATTAAACATTATTCCTACTTCAAAAGCACAAGCTCTTCAAAGGAGGTAAGGCCACCAAGATGATTGTTGCCTTGGTCAAGCAGTTACTGTGATTTTGACAGTGAAATTGTGTTTTTAGTTCCATCATCAGAGATTGCTTCTCAGAACCCTAGTGTCGTTACTCTTATTTATTGCGATAAGACTAATTGTAATTATCATCATTTAATGTCATTCTGGCTTCTGAATAAATTCCACCTGATAATATCCTCCCTCCCTTAAATAAAGCTCTCATTTCTCACAAAATGTTTGTCTCCAAATAAAGCTCCCCCAATTCTCCTTCTGAGTTGGGTCCACAATCTTTCCTAAATACTTGTGCCCGGAATCTAATCTATTCCAAGCATCATATCTAGTATGCATATAGTGTTGTTGGGCACTTGGATACATGCTGGATAGCATTGCTGCATGGCAGTGGACTGTGTCAGGCCTTTGTGTCTGTGTTGGTCAGACGTGGGCCACAACGCACAGCCTACACCATGTTGTGCTTAGGTGGGCTGTGCATTGTCCAAATCAGTTTACCTTTTCTTGCTAAGTTTGGGACTTTGGGATATGTCATGCCTCCTACAGTCCTACCCGAAACCCTGGCCTAGGCGCAGCCTACACTGGGGGGCCTCATATCAGGGTATCCCCAAATGCCCACACCTTACCAAGACCAAACCATGCCATCACAGCTAAGCCTGATCAGGACCAACCTATGTTAGTTTCCTTTTCTGTTAAAAAAAAAATTGATTTCTTTCATTACTAAGCAGCTAAGCTCTTTGTTTCCGTTGGCTGTAATGCGTTTATTGGTAATGAACGTCATTATCTAGCCATCTGGCCTTTTTTCTGGGTGGGGTTCTTTTTCTTTTATCTTGTGAAAGCACCTCCTTCTTCTCAGGGAAATAGAGATAGAGAGTTTAATGCTAGGCCATGTCAGTAACGGAATTTTTTTGAACAGTTATCTGAAGTTCTGAACTGGTAATTTTACTTTTCCAGTGGACGTGCAGGCCGGGAAGGACCGGGTAAATGCTTTCGCCTTTATACAGAGAGAGAATTCGAGAAGCTTGCTGACTCCACGGTGCCAGAAATCAAGCGATGCAACCTTTCAAACGTCATTTTACAGCTCAAAGCTCTAGGCATTGACGATATTATTGGCTTTGACTTCATGGAAAAACCTTCACGGTGAGGACTGGTATATATGTGTATTATACTACCTTTTTTTTGTTCTACTCTCTTTCTGTTTAGGTCCCTTTTTAAAAAAAAAATAAAAATAAAAAATTCTACTTGCTTCTACTTTGTCCTATTTTGGCAAACCCCCTATACTATCTTACAATTCTTACCCCTCAATATTTACTCCTATCTACATTGTTTCTCTTACTTTTTCATACACCCAGCCACCTTTCAACTCTCTCTTACTTTTATGTTATGGTATCAGTTAAAAGGGTTACTTTTATGAGTATCCTTGTTCTTGAGATTGTAAGTATTTTGCTGTTACGTACTTCTCATAGAAATTTTCTAACGGTTTCTTATGTTTGTGTTATTGATTAACTGAATAAATGTTATGGAGTATTAGTTTCTTATGGATATTTACTTGGTTGTGCATGGTTTGTTAAAACTGTCATTTGGCTTTTTTTTGGTATTGCTTTCTATTCTTCTATAACAGAACAAAAGTGAACTATTCGAGTTTGTACTCATTGGTTATCTTAGCTGGATCTTCAGTTCATATCTGCTTTTCTAATTTTTTTTTTCTTGCCAAAGGGGTAACTTGTCCACTCCCGTTTGACTTCCTGCAGTAATTTGTAATCAACACTAACTTTGGCTGGTGCTTGTAAACATATCTTGTACAAAATATACTCTTTAAAAAATAGTTTGGTATAAATCTTACTGTGCTTTATTTGTTTTCTACATTATGATTCTTTATGCATGTTAAGATGTTAGCAATCAGAATCTCTACACTCCCCCCCCCCCCCTCTTTTTCTCCCTGGGGAAAATTAAAATGGAATGTATGACTTGTTTCTTTGAGAAATCATGGAGCCTAATGATTTTGATGGTCCTTGTACATCTGGGCAGGATGGCAATTGTGAAGTCTCTGGAAGAATTATTCTTGCTTGGCGCTCTAACAGAGGAGTATAAGCTTTCAGATCCTATTGGGAACCAGATGGCTAAACTTCCATTGGATCCAATTTATTCTAAGGCTCTCATTTTGTCTAGCCAATTCAACTGCTTGGAAGAAATGTTGATAGCTGTCTCAATGCTCTCTGTTGAATCAATTTTTTTTACACCACGTGAAAAGCAAGAAGAGGTATGGATGTTAAACCAGTTTGGAACATTATTGTATATATTGTATTTTAATACAGAGTATAATAATTCATGTGTGGCATAGTGAATGGCTCTAATGCGGTGGTTGTAGAGGCTTTATGCTGATATACTGAATTGCTGGCTTGTTCATTTCTCCTTAGCAGTCATATACACCAAGTTATTGTAACGTATAGCTCAGATAATTATTATTGTTAGGAGCCTGGCCATCAACTACTGGAGCTTGCAACTTATAGCTTAGATAATTATTATCGTTAGGAGCCTGGCCATGAACTACTGAAGCTTAGCTCTAAGCTCAGTCAAGGCTTAGCTTGGATCTTTATAGCCCAACCTATCCTTGGCTCGGCTCTAAAGCTCGCGAATGGGCTCGGGTGTTTTTTTTTTTCCTTAAATCTTTATGTCCCGCATTGGTTTAGTAAAGTGAAACGCTAGCTTATGTACTTCATAAGGAGAGAATATAGATATTCAAGTTGAATCGAGCCTGCTCTGACTCGTTCTTGGTTCAGCTCATCATCACCCCTGGTTATGGTTCTAAATTGTAGACTGACCGACAGCTAAACTGCTATAATGGACATCAAATTTTTTTTTAAAAAAAATAGGTATGTCCAGTGTGGCTTATTTCTGAGGTATGGTCTGGAGTACATTATCTCTTTAACTCTTTAAAGGGTTGTATCTGAAACAAAGCATGCATGAAACTTAACAAAAATAATTGCAAAATTTGTAGTTTCCTAAAATTGTTGCTTAGTAATGGAGTTTAAAAGTCAACACAAGTTCTATACATCTTCATGTAATTTTATTGGTATTGAATGTTTCCTTTTGACACATTGCTTTACGTATATGAATTTATATCAACTTTTATATCCTGATCCTTCATGGCCAGGCTAGGACTGCTGTCAAACGTTTTTCAAGTCCTGAAGGAGACCACATAACCTTGATTAATGTGTATAGATCATGTGATGAGTTCTTGGAGAGTGGCAATGCTAACAGCAGCAAGGAGAAAACTTTCAAGAATATGAAGAAATGGTGCAAAGAGAACTTTGTAAATGGTCGCTCGCTTAGACATGCTCGTGATGTACACAGGTATGGCTCTTCTCTCAAAGCATTTGTGAGAGGACAGATGCATTATCTGGGTCCACTAATCTGAAAATAATCTGCTTGAGGTATTAATGATCAGTTTATTGATGTTTACTTTTCCAAACTGCCTCTCTCTGTATTCGGTCTACTGTAGAAGCTCATGCGATCATGCTGCGAATTCGATTACATGCATAAACCATTTGCTATACACTCCTTTGCAATTAGGAGAATGCTCATCTTTACTTTTACCAATTCTGTACAAGTAGTTAAATAATTGCGTCTATTGTCTTCAAATGACTAATTGCAGTCAATCTTTTTGTCTTAGTTAATTTAGAACCATTTGGTGGTCTCAATGTCTGATATATATGGAAATCATTTCACAACCTTGTGCTTTAGATTTCATGGTTCGGCTTCTTACACTGTGTTATTGATTGCAGCCAAATTCGAGACCATGTCAAGCAAATGGGTCTTCGTATTGCTTCATGTGGAGAGGATATGCTTCTGTTTCGCAGATGCCTTGCAGCTTCCTTTTTTCTTAATGCTGCTTTGAAACAGCCTGATGGTACATATAGGTATATCTCTCGACAAGTATTTTGCCCTATCGCTTTGTCTTACTCCCTTGGAAAATTGGAAGTATATTTTACTCCCTTAGTCCCATAATATAGTGCTCATTTCTCATTTTTCACGAGAATTAAGAAAAATGGAGTATAAAATTATAATCTATAAAAATTAACCGATAACAGTGCAATAGTTTTAGTTAACTCTTTAATCTATTTCCGAGGAATATAATTAAAGCTTGTTGAGATTTATGTACCCCGGTAATTTCTTATCGAGAATTAAGAAAAGTGGATTATAAAGTTATACAGAGTAATTTATAAAACTAACTGATAATAGTGCAACAGTTTTATTAAGGCTTATGGGATTAAGACTTTGATTGATTGATTGATAATAGTGCAACAGTTTTATTTAGTTAACTCTTTAATCTGTTTCCAAGGAATATGATAAAAGCTTGTTGAGATTGATGTACCCTGATAATGCACGTTGAACAATTAACCATGCATAAATATTGAGATTAATAATAATATTTATTTATTATTTTTTTTTTTTTAATCTGTTTCCAAGGAATATGATAAAAGCTTGTTGAGATTGATGTACCCTGATAATGCACGTTGAACAATTAACCATGCATAAATATTGAGATTAATAATAATATTTATTTATTATTATTTTTTTTTTTACAAAAAAAAAAAGGTTGTTTTCAATATATGAATAACTACATTAGTGTCTGTGCAATGCACAGTAGTAATATTTTTTTTCCCATAATTAAATTGTGATATAATATAAAAATGAGGCAACTCATGTGGAATAAACAAATGCAATTTGTATAAGAAAAATAAAATAATAAGGCAAAAATTATTACTAAAATTGAGAAAAAAAAAAAAAAATTTATTGTTGATTAGTTGTGTTGTAAATATATTTACAAGTAGTATACATTATATTACATGAATGATGCATGTTATTCCCAATAAAACTATACAATGTATTTCAAAAAAAAAAAGCTAAGTAGAATAATAAAAAAAAAAAAATAAATAAAAAAACTTAAAGTTGACATCATATATTGATTTGGCGGGAAATTTTTTAATAATAGCTTGACATGTGTTCAAAATGATCTAAGCATGTTCTGTTTCAGTAATACATAATAAATTTGTACTTTCAAAGTAAAATGAGGACATTGTTAGGATAACATTAGTTTATGCGGGCAATTTGGTAGTAAAAAAGATTAAAATGAGGACATTGTTAGGAATTTAGAATAACACCCAAAAAGGCACTAATTATGGGATGGAGAGGGTAGCTTTTTTAATAAAAGTTATAATAGATTGTCTTTTAAATCATGGACTTTGTCTTCCATCATCTTGCTTTACTTATTTATACCATATAGCAATCCTGTGCATTGATAGCTTGCTTCTTGTATCATTTTGGGTATAGGGCTTTGGCAAGCAGTCAGATGGTGCAAATCCACCCAACTTCTGTGTTGTTTCGGGCAAAACCAGACTGCATAATATTCAATGAATTGGTCAGGACGAATCAGAACTATATCCGCGATGTTACTAGAATTGACCCCATGTGGTTAACAGAGCTGGCTCCTCATTTCTATGCCAGACAAGATTAACATTTTGTACAATTTACGAAAAGGTCAGAACTATGAATATTATCGCACATTGAATACCTTTTTACCTGCTGCTATTTTCTTATTGATTCTTTGAGCTTTGCCTGGTCTGAAATATGTTGATTTAAATTCTGGATCTTGATCTTCGCGGTAATGGACTTACCTTTCTGGGCTTTCTCCCTATACTCAACCAAAGCTTGATGTACAACTGTCCTCTATCCTGATTAAGGAATAACTCAGTTTGACTTGCTCATTGCTATTACAGGCCCATAGGTAGGGGCTTGTTAGTTCACTAAATTAGTACAGACAATTTATGATTGTTTACTGGATTGCTTTCAGGCAATTTGGTGATGGTTGGCAGAAGCATATCCCTAGTATAAGGCTAAACTTTGCAAATTTATGTTTCTATTGATTATGTTTATTACATTGTGTCCACCTTTTCAATGTTTTCACTAGCAATAACTCAGTCCTGAAAGAGTGGATATTCTATAATCTTTTGAAATTAATGTGTCTTATATTAGCTCTCCCCATGCCAAATGTGTTGGGACTAGGGGCGAGAGTAGGAGATTTATTCATTGCTAATGTTTCTAAATCAGTTAGTCTGCATTGATAAGTCTTCATCCATAGTGTATATTCAAGCTATTACTTCCATTAATCACGTACATTTGTTTCCCATTTCCCTCACACAGAGCAGCAGTGGATTGTACTGCATCAGACAACTCGAGTGGCAGCAGGCGTCTTCTGCCCAAGAATTTGCCACCTTTTGCACTTTGTCGGATACTGCATGACCCATTCACTTTAAGCTCGTGAAAATCAAATTCATTAAGTGTTACTGCCTCAATGGGAGTGTGAGCTCTCACATTTCTCAAGCCATTTTCTGTTGCAAGGGGCTGAGGGCATATGGTATGTTCAATGGTGCAGTTATATGGAAAAGCAGCTCAAAAGGAAGTATATTGACGGTGGTTGATTTATTCACTTGGATCCAAAATTCTGAACTCTAAGAAAGATTTCAGAATTCAGATTTCAGGAAGCAGGGTTGCAGGTTCCCTTGACGGTGTGCTCTATCAAGCATCAATGCTAACTTTAGTTAGTTTTATACCCATGAAGATGACATAAAACTTTTGTGTTCTTCCCTTGTATTGTAATTATGATACAGTAACAATATGCAATATGGTCTAAATACATACAATTATAAGGGCATTGTCTTTTTCTTCAGTTTTTTTTGGCGGTGTGCTAGTTGAAAGGTGCATGATTAAAGGGCAATGGGCATCTGAATATTTAAGCTATAATATAAGTTAAAATGCATGCAATGCAAATGCAATTTGTAGAGTTGAATGGATTGTCACCATCCGGTCGTTGAGTTGAAAGGAATTGTTGCCGACACATCCAAGGTTACTTGACATGACAGTATGTTGGCCACTATTATGTGGCTTCATACTTTTGAAGTTTTGATAAACTGAATTTAGAATTTTTAAATTATAAATTTGTAAATTTCAAAATAAAATATCACAGTTGAAGAACTTTATGTTGGAATGGATTGTCTCTCTTTAAGATTGATACTTTAAACCTTTTGATTTTACATACTACTTTAAGGGTTTTTTTTTTTTTTTTTTTTTTTTTTTTTTTTGATGAACAATAAAATATGGGAGTATTATAATTATGTGGGATATGGTAAGATTGATATTAACCTAAGAAGTATATTTTTAAAATAATATTTTTGTATGATAATGGTTAAAGTTACACTTTAGCAAATGTGGAAGTTAAAATATTTCATCTATAAAGCTAAGAAAGTAATTATATGGTATACGTGTTAAATTATTACTTAAAATTTAGAGGGTGTTAAATACCGTCATCTAAATTTATTGTCACTGCCATCATTTCAAGCAAACTGACAATTTTGCTCTAACTATTTTTTTTTCCCATTTTCTTTCTCTAACATTAGTCCATCAACCACCACCTTCTACACCGGACAGCCACAACGACGGCGAAAGTCGACGAGAAATGGATGGTGATTGAGGTGGCTCGACTGAAATCAAACTTAAGGTCAAACGGAGCTCCACGGTAACCGGTTTTGACATGCGGTTACCGTGGACGGTAACCGGTTTTGGGCTTCGGTTACCATGGTCAACCGAAGGTCAAAATCGGCAACCGTCCATGGTAATCGGAGGTCAAAACCAGTTACCGAGGACAGTAACCGGTTTGCAGCTCCGGTTATGCACGGTCACCGAAGGCCAAAACCGGTTATCGTGGACGGTAATCGGAGCCCAATTCAAAATTTGCTCAGTTTTCTTCAAAAAAAAAGTTCAAAAAAAAATAATAAAATATGGTGGCAGGTAACTGAAGGTGAAAACTAGTTGCCCACCACTGGTAACCGGACGCCAAATCTGGTTGACCGTCACCGGTAACCGGAGGTGAAAACTGGTCACCGGCTGCGGTCAACCGGATTCGGTCGCCGGTTACCGATGCTGGCAACCGGTTTTCGTCTCCGGTTACCATCCACTTATTGCATTAAAAAAAACGAAAATTAGAAGAAAAAAAAACACAAACCGGAAACTACTTACCTCCTTTTCTCTCATTCCGCCGTCGTCGCTGCTTGAGTCCGCGCCGCCTCCACCGCCTGAGGTCGCCCCGCCAATTGCTTCCCAGCAAACCCCAAATATGTGGTTGTGGAGGTTGTGTGGTAAAAAGGTGGGTGGTTAGTGTTTGAGGAGAAAGAAAGAAAATAAGGGTGGAAAATGGGTTTGGGTTAGGCTTTAGTAAAGACAAGATTGTCAGTTTGCATGAAATGATGGCATTGGCGATAAATTTGGATGGCGGTATTTAGGATTTCACTTTATTTTCCATGGTTGCTAAATGTAACCAAAATGGTTTTAGAAGAAACTAGAGATTGTTAGGTTATGTTTTTAATATAATATAGCTATGAGTACGAGATAGTGTTTGTATTTGGTGAATGACCTTCTAGTATTCGAACCACAGGTCATGTTTTCAAGCTATCGTTACTAACTAGTGTGTAGCGTGGACGTTGCACCGGGTTGCTATTTTAATTATTCCTTGTGATTATATGTATTTGATTTAATATTTATGGTTTCTTTTTTCAATTAGACCTTGTGATTTGCAATTATATACATTTATTTTCATGTTTATAACGTATTTGATAATTGGCTTAGATAGTTAAATAACCATCTTTCTTATAAGAGGTTGGGTGTTCGAATCTTCTTATCCTACGCCTTTGAATAGATTAATACACTTTAATAATCTCAACTTTGCTCAATTTACTTCATATAATCCCAACTTTTGATTATTCTGTAATAATCCCAACTTTCACCTGTATTTTAATTTCTTTGTTCAATCTCAAACCGGTCAACAAAAGTCAACAACCTAATATTCCAGGTTACTTAACACGTGTCAAGTTGTGATTGGTCCAAAAATAATAAAAAAATAATAGGAAAAATAAACCAAGCCACCACCAGCCCACAACCACCGGCGGTGGCCACCCTCCTCCGTAGCCCACCTTGAACCACCCCCTCCCCAGCCCCTCCACTGATTTCGACCCCCTTCCCTTACTCTAAGGCCGAAAATCGGCCTCCCATCCCAGAAACCGCCACCAACCTTCACACACCACCCTCGCAACCATTCCCCTCTGCATTCCAACCCTCATCGAACATCCTCCCTTCCCACACTCCCCAAACAGGCCCCCCTACCCTCACCCCAAAAAACGGCCCCCCTTTACCAATCTTCCCCCCCTTTCGTGCACTCCATCAGCAGTTTCGCCGATAAAAGCGTTAGTGTGTGGTAGGGTGGTGGGAATATGGTGGTGGGGGAAGGTATTCCGGGGTTGGGGGAAGGGAGAGGTGGTCGCAAATCAGTGGTGGGGCTGGGGGGGTTTGGTTCGAGCTAGGGCTGGGGAGGGGGTGGCCACGGCGGTGGTGGTGGGTGTTGGCTTGGGGTTTAGATTTTTTTTTTTTTATTATTTTTTTTAATTCTTTTTGAAGCAATTAACATGTGACACGTGTCAAATAGTTTTTTTTTTTAAAAAAAAATTAACCCTTTTATTAGGTTACCGATTTTCGGGATTGAAGAAAGAAAATGCACCTCGCTTCGTGGCTGGCAGGGCCTGAATCGAATGCTCGAATGTACTTGCTTTTCTTTGTTGAACCTTCTATGGTCTACCCTCTTTCTCGATATCCAAATTCTAGCGTTCGTTAGCAGAAGTAGAGATAGGGGGAATTTCTCTTTTTCTGTGAAAATGACAGAAGCCACTATAAAGGGAAGAAGCTAATCCTGCCCCTTTACCCGCGAAGCGCTACGCTCCTGCTTACAAAAAACGACTTTCCAAGCGAACTACTGAAGACAGACTACTCTACTGGGAGTGGGAATAAAGCTCCAGTCCTTAGCCCTGAACTCCTTCAATATCGCACCTACTACCTGATTAAGGGATTTTGCTCCCACCAATCAGAATGCGCCATGTGGGCCAATCAGGTCCTGCCAAGTGTCCTCTAATTGGACTTATCAGAGCCTGCCACGTGGCACGCTCCTATTTGTCCACCAAGGACCTATTATGTCACGACACGTGGCATCCTCCATGCCTAATGGAAAAACCGGCCACCTAGGCCCAACTTCCAAGGGAAGCCCAATCTGCCCTAGGTTAACCGAAAACCTAGGATTGGCACACCTCCCAAGGTTATAAATACCTTCATTAATCCTCATTAAACGGTATTACGCTGATTAATCACTCTCACCCAGAGAAGCACATTTTACCTTTCCGCATTAATTACTCCTTAAACAAGTTCTAACTTGACCGTTGGAGGCGGAACTCCAATCACTCGGAGTCTCCGTTTGTTTTGCAGGTACAGGCGTCCGGTTCCAGTCTCGGAATTGTAACTCTCCCGCAGGACATCAAAAAACCCCGAAACAGCTTGGCGCTATCTGTGGGGAGAGTACTTTTGAGATGGCATCAACGTCTGTACTGACTCCAGAAGAGAGGCGTCCCCTGGACGACCCTCAAGTTCACTTAGATCATGATACTGAAAATGAGGTTGAAGTTGAAGCACACACAGCCTCAGACGGGACCCTTAGGGCCCGATGTACCCGTCACACCGAAAGGAAAGAACGGGTAGATCACCAAACTGGACCCAGTAATCCAGTCGCCACACCGCCTGATCAGCAGCAGGCGACTGAAGGGTCTGCTCCCATTACAAGAAACGAACTCATGACCTTCATGAGGGGCTTCAAGGGGGAGATCCAAGAACTGATCAACAAGAAGACGCCTGCTCTGTCTAAGGAGCAGTCGGCTAAAAAGCCTTCCCATTCAGGAAGAAGGAAGCCTGTTCAAGGACGAGAGGCGACCCCTCATCCTAACTCTAGGAAGTGGGAGCTGCCTGTGTTTGACTTCACAAAGTACCGTTTTCCCACACCAGGGAAGAGGAAGCCCGTTCGTCATATACAGGCGGACGGGTCAAAGAAAACATACTCAGACGCTCGGCTACTGCTAAAGCAGAAGAAGAACGACCGACTGTCAGAGTCGGCCTCTACTTCAGATTTCCAAGATAGTCTGCACAATACTTCTATGAGATATACTCAATCAAATCATGAGAGCCAGACAGGCGGTACCTCCCGTCGGTCTGGATTTCATAACGACCAGGCGGTACCAAATTTACCATTTGTACTGCAACAACAATATTTTTTGCAGCCACCTTTGTTTGCAGGACAGGCGGCAAAAAATGTCCAGCCTTTGGACTAGAAACTACGGTTGCTAAGACTTGGAGAACAGCCGTCCGCTTTCTCCAAGGAAATTACAGAGGCCGCCCAGCCGACCAAAGTTAAGAATGTGCTAGTAGGCGCCTATGCAGACTAAGTGATTTAGGGACGATTCAACAGGGTGAGAAGAAGGGGCTCCGTTCATACATCAGGCGGTTCAACCTGATGAGGATACAGATTCAAGGGTGATGAGTGACATTTATGTTACCCTTAGGGGTAGTGTATTGGTCTCTTTTCTCCTGTTTTTCTTAGGTTTTCTACCTCTTTTCTCCTCTTATGGCTTCCTTTTCTTTTATGGATGAAAAGTATGCTTATTTGCGCTTGTTTTGATAATCTTAATGCATAATTTTATCATCCCCATGCTCTCGTGATCTTTGCTATCTTTTGCAGGTTCCATGACGGTCCTAAGCACGGTAGGAGGCCCCTTGGCCAAGTATGGAGGCATGGACAAAGACAAGAGGAGCAAAAGGGAAGAAGAGGAAGCAAGAAGAGGAAGTTCAAGAGGAGGTGTGGCCGAACCTCTAAGAGGTTCGGTCGAACCTAGGTGTGGTCAAACTTTTGAAAAGTTCGACCGAACC